ACTCTCTGTAAACCGCTTAGAGAGGGCTGAAAGCCCTATGAAGCGGTATATAAGTCTACTGCTATTGCTATTGCCTGACACAATACATTTTTAACAACCACATAATGGTATATAGCAAATGTGTCAAACTCTATTATATTGTCCTCTGTGGGCTGGGGATGGGTGTGGCCATGGGGAGGGGCATGGCTGGAGTGGTTGCAATAGACTGGGCATGGCCAGTGGGCATGGACTGCTTGATATCGCTCATGTGGGTGGTGCCTGTGGGTTTGGGTGGGTTTGGGGAGGGAAATCCAGGGGTCTCCAATGCGTGGTGCACTGGGTGGGAGGATTGTCCTGCAGAATGAGGTCAGGTGAGGTGACGCAAGACAAGAGGTGCCGCTCTTGGTGTGTGGGGTGAAAGGATGGCTTCCAGCTGTAGACACAGCCTGCTGGCCCCTCAGCTGATGCGCATTATGGCTCTGCAGCCTGCTGCCAGCACAGCACTGGGCTGGCCATCCAGGGAGCCAGCGGAGGTGGTGGGAAGGAATGTGATGTGGATTGCTGGATGCACTTACTCTGCTTGCAGTTGGAGAGCAGGTTGCTGCTGGTCGTCTTCTCCTCAGCCCCCTTGCAGGTCTTGCCCTTAGCCTGTGTGTGGAGTGCGTTCCCCTTGTGCACCCAACTGCAGTAGTGGATGCAAAGCAGGCTACAGGGTGGGATAGGAAGCGGTGCCTCTCCCAAGGCTGGAGGAAGAGGGGCCTTTGAGCCCCAGGCACTGGTTTGGGCAGCATCCTACTGAATCACCTGCTCACATGGAGGGAAGCCCCACTACCTCTGAGGTGCACCTTACTGGAATTTGGCATCACTTCAGCCCAGACCAACCCATCCCAGTGGGTGCACAGGTGCCCACCTCTTGTGTTCATACATGCCTGCCAAGATGGCATGGACCAGCCTGTCTGCATGTGCACCTGTCTCCGCCTGTGGACCCATGTGACCTCTGGGATGGCAAGGGTTGGGCCTCTGTGTGCATACGCCTGCCACCTCCTGCGGCACATACATGCCCGCCCGCTGGGATGGATTGGGCCAGGCTGATGTCATGCCAGCCAGATCCTTACTGTTTCCAGGATGGTCACGCAGGCTGGATCTGACCTTGAGTTTGACACCCCTGGCATATAGTGATCAACTTCTTCATTTCTAGATGCTCACTTATCCTCCACTTGATTATTTTTTCCAGGATCTTCCCAGGTACTGATGAGCCTATAATTTTCCTTTTCTGTAGATTGGTACTACCTGAGCTCCTTTCCAGTTATTTGGCAGTTCCTTTATGGTACAGGAGCTTTAGATGATTATATTCACTGGATCCAATATTATATCTACCAGCTCCTTTAGAACCTTAATCTGGTCCAGATTAATCTGGTCTTGGTTTTCCTTCTGGGTGGATAGGTATTGCCTTACCATTTCCTTGCCTGTTTTGATTTGTACACTGGTTCTATNATGTAGAATAGACTGGCTTGGGCATTTTAATGGGCCATTAAGAAAGTGGGGGCTATTCAAAGTGAGTCTGTTTCCTGCCTAAAAACATGTTTCTCCATTTCTGATCCAGAAATGATGACATTTCTGAAATGTCATATTCTGCCTTTTCAATATTTCCCAGGATATTTCATTTTTTCTAGGAAAGGGCTGGGTGCTAACTTCCTACAGAAGCATTTGGCATTTTTACCCATGCTTGTTGCCCTTTCACTCCTTTCTGCTAAGCTACAGCCTCTTTCCCTTTCACTTTTGAATTATATATAAAAAAGCTTTTATTGCTATTGTTTTGGTATACCCTTTGAGCTTTGGCCTTTCTGACACATTCGCTACAGTTTTTGGCAACTGCTTCTTTGCTAATACAATTCTCCTTCCATTTCTCATACATGTCCTTTCTTTTTTCCTTTTCATCATTTTATAAAGATGTCTATATCCACACTGGATCTTTAGAGTCTTCCATTTTCCTTTCTACCAGTTTTGCCAGTGTTGGTGGAGATGGGTCTCTGTGCTTCTCTCTTCTTACACCCAATCAATGAAATGATTGAGGAAAGACAATCTGTGCACTCCCTTCCTTCACCTCCCTGCCCAAAGCTTCACAATTTTTAGTGGTTTTCAAGAGTCTCAGCAGCCTTTCTGTCCCTGCCTTGGATGCTTCTTATCAGGGTTCTATACTGTGATTTTGGTTCCTCTCAGCAGCACATTTTCCACCATGTATCTTCTCCCTCGAAATGGTTCCTGGGTTTCTTTGACTTACATGGCCTTCTTGTGTGTCTTCCACATGTTCTGTGAATCCAGGTTTAGCAAGTCTCAGTTTGTTGATTTTGAGTTATGTTCTAGACTAGAGCAAGAGACTGGTATTTGTTGTTAAGTTCTGTTTGCACTGAGTACTTCCTAGTTTCTCTTTTGTCTTTAGGTCATAAGCTTCCCTTGTCTTCCTCCTTTTGTTTTCTGGTGTTCACTTCCCTTCTCTGCTCTTCCCAAGGAGCAGAGAACTTCTCCTTCACTTCACTTCTCCTTTTCCATGGCCAATTGCAGTGCAGCGACTTTGTCCCCAAGCCTGTTGCTTTCTCCTGCAACAAATGTACAAATCTATACAGGTAGTCCTCGACTAACAACCACAATTCAATCCAATTTTTCGTCACTAAGTGAAACATTTGTTAGGTGAGTTTCCCCCCATTTTATGACTGTGTGCCCCAGTTCAGAGGTGGTATTCAGCAGGTTCTGACCAGTTCTAGAGAACTGGTAGCGGAAATTCTGAGTAGTTCAGAGAACCGTTAGACACTACCTCTGACTGGCCCTGCCCCCATCTATTCTCTGCCTCCTGAGTCCCAGATGATCAGGAGGAAATGGGGATTTTGTAGTATCCTTCCCCTTGAGTGGGGAGGGAATGGAGATTTTACAATGTCCTTCTCCTGCCACGCCCACCAAGCCACGCCCACCAANTTAAACTAGACATACCCAGTTCCTGCAACTGTTCTTCATATGTTTTAGTCTCCAGTCCCCTAATCATCTTTGTTGCTCTTCTCTGCACTCTTTTTAGAGGTAACTCATGGAGCTGCAATGCTCTTGGCTTGCACTCTATTATGTCTAGACTAGCATACCTCTTCCTACCTCCCCCATGGCTCTTCCTTACTGCAACCTTGAATGAGCGGATGGTTCCATGAATGGTCCAGAGGTATCTGGTCCTGCACTGGGGATCACTGAAGCAGAGCAACTTTAAATTTATGATACTGGAGACTTTTGTGACAGTTTATGAGTGTGTGTATGCATGTGGGTACTTCAGTCTTGCAACTTTCCATATAGTGAGCTAACCCTTATACAAGATTCATGTTGATGTGAGTTTGAGGCCACTGATGGATACAAATTTGAATAAAGTTGAATAAGTTGAATAGTCTTACTATTCCTTTTCTGAAAGTCAGTCATATGATCCTCCTATGAAACTTAAAAGCCTGGGCTTATTTCAAAGGAATATTT